CACACAAGATCGAGGTTGGTTCACAAGTATGGCTGTACCTAGATCGTGTAAAGGAGGGATATGCGCGTAAACTGGCACACATGTGGCATGGGCCGTTCCGAGTTGCGGAAGTCGTCGACTCGCACGCGGTGCGACTGGAAATCGCAGGATCTGACTATCACGTGTTTCCAGTGGTACATGTGTCCAAACTGAAACTGGTTCGGAAATTCCCAGATCGCCCGAATGTGAGATTGATGACCCAAGATCGAGATCGACTCGACTTCGATGAAGGGTTGTTACCTAAATACAGCTGGGACACTGAGCTCGAAGAGGGTGAATACGAAGTCGAACGCATCTCAGACGAACGAACAGGACGTCGGACACGCTACGGACGGAAGCTGCGCGAGTTCTTGGTCCACTGGAAAGGTTACGACGCTCCGACATGGGTCGACGAAGCCGATCTTAACTGTGGAGCACTGCTACATGACTACTTGCGCGACCAGACCAACCGAAGTCGATTCGGGGTAATGCAGTCGCACGAGGAGCAGTAAGACAGCGAGATCGTGAGGGAAGAGGTCACACGAGTGATTTGATGATGGTTTTGCGAGCTGGTCGCAGACTACGGTGGATGGAGTTTTATGTATGCATTTGTAGCGTAGCTGGGTGAGAAACGATACCCAGAAAGGACAACGCGGGGATTGTTCAGAATACCAAGATCAACGGAGTTCGAATTCCAACAGGAGGTAACCGCGAAGTGCTGAAGTACAATATCATACGACCGCGAGATCACGAGATTGCAAGGTCGCAGGCGTACAAGATCGTGAGATTGCACGATGTTTTATTTCGTTGTGTGGCCAAAATCAGAAGGCACGACGATTTTGCGGGGGCACAAACTTGTCCCTCAGACGCGCGATCTGCATCGAAGGATGTTCGGCAGGTCGGTCACGGTAATGGTTGCGCCATGGATCTTCGCGATCGACTATCACCAAGGCGTCAGCCAGGGTGTCTCCGTCATTCTCAACGCGAGGATACCATTCCTTAGGTTTCCGAGACTTGGGCAGGTGCATGAAGAAGGGGTCGAGTAAGATGTCGAGATCGCATCGGCGTAGCCGAAGAACTTGCATCACTACCCGGAGATATCTCGTCCAGGCTTCTCCGGCTCTACTTCGGCGTTGACGTCGCCCTTCGTGATAAGTATGTAGTTTGGGGTCTCGGCGGCACATGACGGTCGAGATCGGAAGGAAGTGAAGAGATTCCCAGAGCGCTTGCATGTGGCGATCTTCGAAAACCAGATACTTTTCCACGAACTCTGAGATCATAAAGTTCGGGCTGAACGTGAGAGGAATTTCGCTTGTGTCTAGTACGGCCCATGGCGGAGGATCAGCGCTCATGATTTCTTGGACGGCATCTCCGGTGATTAGTCGTTCATAGTCGTGATTTGGAACGGGTATGCGATCGGGGTATATACATTGTCCAACAGCCCTTTCAAGATCGAGGCTGAGATCGTACCAACAGTCAAGGAAGACAGGATGTGGGCATCCCATGGGATAACATCCCCAGCCCGGAAACGTCGAACCCGTTCGTAGCCAGGAATCCACTGCAACCGTGGAATAGTGGTAGTAGCCGGAATCAGTCGCTGAGAGGTACTACTGGGTCTAGCCGAAGCGGCGGCCCCATAGTTTTGAGCCCGAGAGTTGTCGATCTCGGAAAGACTATCATCCTCACCGTCGGACGAAGCATCTGGAGAGCTGCCTAGTTGAGACCCCCGGCCAAAATGATCTGAAGAGCTGTTTGCCGTGCTACTTGACGAGCCGTCGTCATCAGGATTAGGGGCGGCAGGAAGACGTCGGACAAGATCGGTACGGTGCTCTTCGTGCGAGTGAGATCGACGAAGTTCGGCTCTCGACCTGGCTAACGCCGCAAGGTAGTTGGGGTCCTCTTCGTCATCTTCAGAGCCGAACAGGTCGGAATCACCTACGTTATGTTCCACTGAACGGGACGAGGTCCCACCCAGGTCAAGCATACCCTGAGCTGCGGTCGGACTAATGGAAGAGGATTCAGATCGAGCGGTTGCTGTAGAATCCACGAGATTGTTGTTGGCGCCGGTCGACGGCTGAGGCGAAGAGGTGGGCAATGCCTGATCCGATTAAGTCGTATCTCTTGGTGCGGAAGAGGAGAGCGGAGTCCGCGCAGTCTTATGTGCACGCGTGGAGGGAGACGACCCCGCAGGTCTATCGTGAATGGAGCTAGGCAGAGGCGGTGTTGGAGTTGGGCGACGTCTTTCCCGAGGCTCGGCCTGAACGAAGTTGGACGGTGGTGGCAGTGTAACAGTTTGCCCCATCGCAGAAGCGACTGCGGAAAACCGCGTGTACGCCTCTGCGTAGTGATCACGAAGTTCGTTGTAAACGCGGCTCAGTCGATCTTGATCTTGCCGCAGAAGCTCGGTCTCGGCGGTAAGCTCCGTCAGAGTGGCTTGTGACTCAGCGTCGGCCCCTCTCCACTGAGCTACTTGCCCCTCCAACCGAGACATGGATGAGCGCATGGAGGTGATATGCTCCGCTGAGGGCCAGACCGACAGGGATGTTAGTACCAGCCCAAGATCGAGAACGTGTGCATGAAGGGTTACCTTGAGATTGAAGCTCGGAGCGAGTCTTAGTCAGCCGTTCACGTGTCCCACGCAGTTGGGTGGTCGCTTGATCACGCTCGTCCCGAAGGGACTCAAGTCGTTGCTGATACTCGCCACATTCCTCACGAAGCCGAGCCAGGCGACGGTTCCCAGCTTCCGCCTGACGCCGAAGCTGTGCCGTGGCGTCCTCTAAGGCCTTTTCAGACCTCTTCAGTGTGGCGATGCGCTCTCGAGACGATCGCACCTCGCGATCTTGAGCTTGAAGGCGACGTGCTAACGCAGGAGGCGGTGCCGAGACGAGATCAGGATGCCCTGTCAAGGCTGTGAGCTGACTACGGAGATCGACAACTTGCCTCTCTAGGATCTTGATCTGGCGCTGAGATTGACGGTCAGCCACGGCGGAAGAAACCTGGAGACGTCTATGCTCCTCTCGGATGCTGGCCACGGACGCGAGTTCGGCTTCCAGCCGCTGGACGGACACTCGTTCATCCGTCAGCAACGCGCTTGTAACCCCGAGCTCCCGGACGATTGCGTCATGACGTTCTTGACAAAACTGGATAAAATGTTGAGCGGCCGACCCAGCTTGCGAGAGACGCGTGTGAAGATCGCGCGTGTGGCGTATGGCAGTTGCATGAACGCGCTGTAAGTCATGATGCTCCTCCTGAAGCTCCTCCACAACTGATTCGCGATCCACTGACGCCTGGATAACTCGAAGCGAGGTCAAGATTCCGGTCAGGGACCTGCGGACAGCAGCAAGATCTGCGCACACTCAGGGCAGGTTATCGGTGCTTCCTCGGGCTGTCCAGTATCGTCAGGATGAGAGGTGGCAGTAGCAGCTAACGCGAGAAGATCCAGCGGAGCAGGCACATTAAGGCCGAGAGAAGGTGATCTCGCGTGCGCAGGATCCGAGGCATTTCGATGAGGAGGGCACGCGGAAGAGCCCCGCAGCGGCGGCGACGGAGAGGACGATCTCGAGGACATCGTTGCGGGCGATAAAAATGCGGCGTAGGGGAATGGAAGATGGAGCTGACGGCGACGCGGACGAAATACTAATGGTGCATCAGCTGGTAGCCGTTGTGCAGCCGCCAGCTGTGCAGGGGACGGTTGTGGTGAAGCAGATCCAGAATATTCCAAGACTGGGCGCTATCAGTTCCAATCAATCAAGATCGACCACCACCCATTATGGCGATCTTGGTGTGGTCCACGTCAAACCTGACCAAACCGATGGCGATCTCAAGTGTGGCATACATCACACCTGCCCAAGTCAATTGTACCCACGATTTATCAAGTCTGCGGGGGATTATG